TTATCCAGCGGATATTGGCAATTTGGTCTCTCGTTCCTCTCCCTTTTCTAAACCCAGCTTGAACATCTGGCAGCTCTTGCTCCATGTATTGCTGGAGTCTTCCTTGCAGGATCGTGAGCATTACCTTACTGGCATGAGAAATAAGGGCCACTGTACGGAAGTTTGAGCAGTCTTTCGCATTTCCCTTTTTTGGTATGGGGATATAAGTTGATTTTTTCCAGTCTGATGGCCATTCTTGTGTTTTCCATATTTGCTGGCAAATGGCATGCATCACCTTGACAGCATCATCTTTTAAGATTTTAAACAGTTCAGCTGGGATCCCGTCGTCTCCTGCTGCCTTGTTGTTAGCAATGCTTCTTAAGGCCCATTCAACCTCACTCCTCAGGATGTCTGGTTCTAATTCATTCACCACACCGTGAAAACTATCCTCAATATTATTATCCTTCCTATACAGATCTTCTGTATAGTCTCGCCACCTTCTCTTGATCTCTTCAGCTTCTGTTAGGTCCCTGCCATCTTTGTTTCTTATCATACCAATTTGTTTCTTATCATACATGATAAGAATTTGTTTCTTATCATACATGAGTCTACACTGACCATATACTGATGTTCCAAACTGCATTATATGGCAGTGTATAGATCATGGAATAATGTATACAAAATTCATGTAAAAATGAAATATTTTCAAATGTGAGACAGGACAAAAATATTATTTACTGTCTAAACACATTAAAACCAAGCTAGGTAGCAGCACATGTTGCAAGTCAAAGGCAATCCATGGAAGAAGCAGCCCAGAAGGAGATAAGAAACTTGGAAATAGGGTGAAATCATATTGGAGACTTTAAAAGTGTAAACTTTCTTACGAAAGGAGTTAGCACTTTCCATCTGAACCATCTGAAGGCATATTTGGTTGTGCATTCAGTTGCTCCATATTCATTTGTGCACTCAGATACATTTATATTAATGCCCACTGCATTGCCATTTGACCAAGCATTCAGCAGCACAATCAATGTGCATATTCCCAAATGGCGATATACGTAGCAATTGAAATATAAGATCTTGGATTATATCTCTACCTACAGACACATCTACACTGTAGAATAAATGCAGTTTGACTCCATTTTAACAGGACTCAGTGCTATGGAATTTGGGGAGTTGTAGTTGGGGAGAGAAGGCTAAAGACCTTGGAAAATGACAGTACCCGGGATTCTATAGCATTGAACCCTGGCAGCAGAAGTGGTGTCAAACTGCATTTGTTCTACAGTGTAGATGCACAACGTACCTATGGAAATGTCTGGGTTTATAGAATTAAGAACATAATAAATGAGTGAGCCAGCATGGAAGACTGGGAGATGCTCTGACTTCTCAGGAAACCATTAAAGGATC